TGTTAGATTGTCGGAAAGAAGTCTGCTAATTCTAAATCAAACTAAGTTCTTGACTTCCTAAATTTCTTCTTCTCTGCCTGCAGCTGATTTTCAGATGCTGTTGTTGTGTGTCTTCAAGTCGTTTCTGATTTATGGAAACCCTAAGGTAAACTTATCATGGGATTTTCATGGCAAGATTTGTTCAAAGGAGGGTTGTCTTTGTTATCCTCTGAGGCTTAGAGAAGGTGGTTTGCCTAAGGCCACCCAGTGAGTTTCCATGGCTGATTGGGGATTTGAACCTTGGTCTGAAGTGTTGTAGTGCAATGCTCAGACCACTTCAGTTTACTTCTACACTAATCTAGGGACTGTCTAATTATATCATGTCTATCTTATTCTACCCATGCCCATCCTTAAAAGCATCCAGTATCTTCAGATGCTGTGATTATGGTAGAATCTGTATATGCCCTCTTGGGTGTTCTTCTGTTCTTTTCCAGTGGCTGTCATCAACAGTGAATATATGGAAGCACTGACTTTTCAGTGGTAACACCAGCTTTATGCAGTGTCCTTCCATGAAGTAGCATTCCAATTGGTGCCTACCAAATTATGTTTCTTAGAAATGTTACATTTGTCTTCACCTTCAGCAGGTGTTCATTTAGTTCTTCTTACGGCACTCTACCTTGGGCTGTTGTATGACTTCTTAGGAAATGTAATATATTCCAGCCTTGGTGCTGGTAGCTAGCCATCAAAACTGAAGGAACTGAACATTCTGCAACTGATTTGATCATTATCTATCTTGAATTGTCACTTTGTATCCCAGCAGTAAGATCAATATACTATAGGAAGAGATGGAACAGGGCCTTTTCTGCTATGACACCCAGTTGTGATAGTCCTACCTTTGAAGGTCTGATTGGCACCAAAGCTCACTTCATTTTTGTGCAAAATACACATGATTTAAAACTGTTTTAACCTTTTAAATTTTGTTTTACGTTCCTCACTGGTTTAATCTTCTTCTAGTAAATACCCACCAGGGTAGGGATGAAGCAGCTTCTTGTATTAAAACTCTTACTACCAACTAGCCCACTCCTGGAGGTAGGTATCATGAATCATTTTTATTAAGGTACCTCATATGCTCTCAGCTGCAAGGGAAGGTAACGGCAAACCTCTTCTGAACAAATCTTGCCATGAAAACCCTGTGATAGGTTCACCTTAGGATCACCATAAGTTAGAAACAACTTGAAGGCACACAACAACAACAAACCTGGTTCCAGTGTGGATGGGAGGAAATGAAATGCTGATGCATTTTTGTGGTATATAGCACTGTATGTGACCACACTGTATGGCAGGGGTAGGCAACCTTTCCCCTTTAAGGGTCGAGGGACTTCAGCTCCCAGAATTCCAGGAGCTATTGGCCAACGTGGGACCATTGGCCAACATGGCTGAGGCTTCTGGGAGCTGAAGTCCCTCGGCCCTTAAAGGGGAAAGGTTGCCTACCCCTGCTGTATGGAGTACACTCCATTTTGATTCCACCTATTTGCTAGCACAGAATGTTTTGTCTGTTCTCAATCACCAGCTAATTTATGACAGAGGGAAATCCTAGCAAGCTTTTTAGACTAAACAGGAAACAGTTGAAATGTATAATGTTTAGTACTATGCTAAAATTAGAAAGCAACAGGTGGTCCTCATAATAGCTGTGATTTCAGATTTCATGTCCACAAAGAGATCTTATTATCTCTTTGTGCAATTTCTGTTATAATTTATCAGTGTAACAAATCCTACTTTACCTTTGTACCTACCACTTAATTGGAAGACACAGGGCTAGCTGGTGGTTTCCATGACAATGACTGCATCTGGACTGCAGAATTAATGCAGTTTGATGCCACTTTAGCTGCCGTGCTCATTATTATGGAATTCTGGGATTTTTAGTTAGGTGTGACATTTAGGCTTCTCAGCCCAAGAGCTCTGGTGCCACAGGAAACTACAAATCCCAGGATTCCATAGGATGGAGCCATGACCGTTAAAGCAGTGTCACACCGCATTAATTCTGCTGTGTGGCAACAGCCAATGAGGTAATGAATCTGCTCCAGGTTCCAGTCTGATCTTTAAATAAACTATCTGAACCTTGTTTCCAGGACAGGTTCAGCCCATTAGATAAATACTTGGAAGTCTGCCTTAAAACCCAGAAGGAAGGCATTGGCCTATCGACATGGATGCCACCAGCTGTCACTGAAGACAAAGTGATTCTTCCACACATATTTCTTTTGGTTCTTTCATTCATGAGCACATCTTCTGGGAGCCTTTCACACTACAGAATTATAGCACCACGATTCCACTTTAACAGCCATGCTCCATCTTTTGTGATCCTGGGATTTGCAGTTTAGGGAGCTGCAATTTGAATTCTCAGTTAGAATATTCTAGTGTCTCAGAAAACTACAAACCCCCAGGATTTCATAGGATGCAGCTATGGCAGGTAATGGGGGATCATAGCAGTACAATTCTGTAATGTGAAAGGGCTCCCAGGGTGTCACACAGCCAGCAGAGCAAAGACAAAAACCGACAAAGGAACCCATGAAAGCTGCAGGAGCCATGAATCATTCATTTTGCAAGCTAGTAATTCTGCTGTTGAAAAATGAATTGCGTTTTCCCATGAAAATCCTCTTTTCTCCTTCCACATTGGTCTCAGCAATCAACAACACCTCATCTGAGGAAAGATCTGTACAAGGCTTATTTGGATGCACCAGGAATGGGAACCATGTCCCCCTTGGGAGGGTCCTGTGTGGCTCTTGGCCTCCTCCCCATTAATCTTTTAGGACACCTGAGACAGGCTACAAGGTCTGGAAGAGAGTTCCAGGTTAATCTAGCCCAAGGCTGGGGAATGTGAAGTTCACAGGCTGCATGAATATTCTACCTCCCAAGACCTCCCAGAATTTCCCCAAAGTAGATTTAAAAATCAATACTATCTAGCAGTATTGCATTTCTCATTTTAGAAAATGGATACAGACTGCATTAGAAGGGACAAGAAACATGGCTAAAATGAAGCCCACAATTGGATCTCATGCAGGTAAACTACATATATGAGATGCTATTTTATAGCAGAGGGTGGGAACTATGTGGCCCTCCAGATGTTGTTGGAATGAAACTCCCAGTAGCCCTGACTAGCATTACTAATGATGGAGAGTGCTGGGACAGTCAGTTGAACAACATCTGGAGGGCCAAGCATACCATCTAGTATTTCACAGATGAAAACTGGATCACATATGAATTGGTGACATCAGAGTGTGGTCAAGATGGCAGAAATTATTAATGAGGAAGAACACATAAACTAGGATAGGTTGCCGCAGTTTCCTTTTGTCTGAATCTACTGGGAAATGCCAGTATGGTGTAGTGGTTTGAGCATTGGACTATGACTCTGTAGAGTAGGGTTCAATTTCCTGCTTGGCAATGAAACCCATTGGCTGACCTTGGTCAAGTCACATGCTCTCAGCCTCAGGGGAAGGCAATTGCAAACCTCCTTCAAACAAATCTCACCAAAAAACCCCCATGGCCTTAGGGTTGTCATAAGTCAGAAACAACTTGAAGGCACACCACCACCACCACCACCACCACAACAACCAAGAAGTGCAAGATTCCACCCTTTCTATCCTCTCCAAGTGCTGAGTAATTGAGTGTAAATTAATTTTACAGCATGTAGGCTGGGGACAAAAAGGGGAAAGTCGGAGAAGGAGAAAGAAACTAGAGCACTTTAAAAGCAGCTAAAAAAATAGGACAACAGAGGAGATGCAAAATCAGGACAACTGGAGGGTATGGCCACATAGCTTCTAGCCTGATGTAAAATAGGATATCTAGAATTATATGACTGGTAAAAATGAATATTTTGGATCAATAAAAGATGATGCATTCTCAAGAACCACTTCTGCACTGTCAGAAATTAAAGGGACAACTAAACTTCCAGTGGTCTCAGTCCTTAATGTTGTGAATATCAGTGAACACAAATAGTATATAGATCTTTTAAATGAATATATAAATGCTTGAACAAAACATCTAACTTTAATATCCAGGCTAATTACATGGACTTTATTATCAATTATTCTAGGCACCAAACTTCAGCAGGCCAAATAAATTAAGGTACTGTTTTGAGAGAATTTGAAGGGTACTCATAGGGAATTGTAGCTGGTTGGGATATACAATTATTTGACTAAAGTCAAAATGGCTTGTCAACAGTACTTGAGTTCCAAGATATGAATATAGATGCCCAGCCATATGTTGTATTTTGTTCTGCACTGTGATGATAGTAGAGGGAAGAACACCAACAAGGATTGCCTTTATTGATGTGCATACACTCTTTGAACTCTTCCTGCAATGGTCTGGTATAATACATCTAGAAAATGAAATTGGTAAGTATACTGATTCCAGAACTATGCTGCTATAAATTTTGTTACTATATATTTCCATAAATATGTTGGTTATCTGCTTTACATTTAAATGTATGAGTAACTGAAATAGATGGGAGTTTCACAGCATCTCTCTTCACATTAAGTGGGGCTGAAGTCCTATGTCCTCTACCTAGGAACAAGTCCTGCTGAATTCTCTGGGAATTATTGTTTCTGGCTAAACATATGTGGATAGGACTATGGAGTCTGGAGTGGAGAATATTCTTATTGATTGTATTCTAAATTATCTTTATTTTAGCAATCCAATACATATCCCAGTCCATGAGGAACTATAATGAGATACAGTTTCAGATCATTAGGTGACATTAACACCAAAATGGAATTCTTGAGTAACTGTGACATCCATATATAATGTATGTATGGAGGATTTTCTCTCTTCTTAGAAAAGGGTATATTATTATTATTATTATTATTATTATTATTATTATTATTATTATTATTATTATTGTTATTCCATTCAGCCTTTTCCTCAGATTGGGACTCAAGGCAGCTTACAACAACTTTTTTTTAAAAATTGTTAAAAATCCATGAGACACAAAAGTTAAAATATAATCAATCAGAAAAAACATGTTAAAATCAGGTTAATATATATATAATTAAAACACATGTATAAACCAGCACAATTATCAGTACATTGTGTAAGATGGGCCTTACACAATAACTCATATACCTTTCAAAATAGAAAAGTCTTTGTTTGTGTGCAAAAGGAAAGTAGAAAGAGTGCCAGTCTAACCTCTCTGGGAAGCGAGTTCCAGAGCCTGGGGGCAGCTACTGAGAAGGCCCTCTCCTGTGTTCCCACCAGATGTACCTGTGAAAGGGATGAAACAGGGAGAAGGGCTCCCCAGTAGATCTCAGAACACAAGTTGGTTCATAAGGGAGAATACAGTCCTTCAAATAACCTGGACCTGAGCTGTGTAGGGCTTTAAAGGTCATAACCAGCACTTTGCATTTTGCCTGGAAATGGACCAACAGCCAGTGGAACTGTTGCAACAATTTTTATTTGTTGCAATCACTATTTTTATTTATACAATGGTTTTTATTTGGAATAAGGCCACATATATCTTCTGCATTAATCAAAACCAACATACAGATACAATCTATGCAGGAGATATCTACAACAGAGATGGAAATCATGCATCTTTCCAAATGTTATTGGACTGCAACTCTCACTATTCCCAACCACTATTCCCAACCAGGTTGATGGGAGCTGCAGTCCAACAATATCTGTGGGGCTGTATGAGTTACACTTAGGTCTATACAAGCAGTGCAACACACTTAGAAATGCTAAACCCACTGCAGTATGTGTTTATTGCTCAGACTGTATTTGTATTTTGATTTTATGATCTTGGGCTAGACACATTATGCTTGCTTAAGCCTTTATGTTCCTGTGGAGTTACTGTGTGTAAAAATATTATGTGTGATAACCTATTATACAAGAGTTGTTTTTTGTATTCATGTTTATATTCTGTATTAATGCTGTAATTTGATGGGCCTACATAGGGAAGGGTCTTAATGTTCAAGTATTCAGGTGAAGTCTGTTAAAGAACTTCTGGCAAATGCATCATTTATCTGAGGCACATGGAGATAAAGACAAAGGAACATCACTGCAATGTAGGTAAGGCCAACTCAAAACAGTTTCCCAGAATAAGACAAAATGCATTGATTCTAAGGCTATCTGATATGGCACACTGTCAATCCCCTCCCGTATGCCAGTAAACAATATTATTTTTGTGTCATATTATTATATTTGCATAGTTTCCTGGCAGTTTAGCATTGACTGGCAGGTGATGGCTTGCAGACTAGCAGTGGTCCACAGACCACCACTTTGAGAAGCACTGCTGTAGAGAATTTCCAGGAACATGGACTCTAATTTATGGGATCCACTGTGCATGCACATCTTACACATTTAACAGAAATAAAATGTAATAATTAAGTCACTTCAGAAGTAAAACATATATAGTCGGATATAGTTGGATCCAAACTTAGTTATACTCAGAGTTTCAGTGGGTTTACTCTAAGCATAGCTATGTCTGGATTCAACTCTTAATGTTCCCCTTCTTCAGCTTGAGAGAAATTCACAGTATACACATTTGCTGGGGTTAGAGGTTAGGGATCCCCATGAATGTGGAGAAACTGCAATTAAAAAACCACTATTATTTTTACCTAAGAGAACACATCGCTAGGAATCTCCAGGTTCTCCAGTGCAACTCTATGGTCAGCATCTGTCAGAAGTTGATCATAGAATCATGCAGGACCATCTACAAATGCCTAGAGAAATGTTTTTCTAGGAAGTCCTAGGTTCTCCAGCACAACTCTATGGTCAGCTTCTGGCAGAGTTGCACTGGAGGACCTAGTAATTCCCAAAGAGAACATTTTAATCAAATCCGCAAAAGTCAAAGTCACAAATGTGGAGGGCCAACTGTATGCTACAGGATAACATACAAAGGACAAAGAAGACCATGTTTTATTGACAAAGGTCTCTGTTGTGTTGAGAACATGTGGGACTTGCATAAACCTGGATTTCCAGTTCAAACTCCAAAAAGATTCCTGTGAGTTCAAAGCCAATGGATACATTTTTCTTCTTTAAACATATTGACTGGCTTAAGTACTGCTGCATCTTTCCAGCAGGGGTCATGCCATGACCAGAGCTGCACAATTGTTCATACCTCTGAAAGTTTAAAGGCAACATTTTCTGGATCAAACAAAATTTAGTAATGGAGGGAGTTTAAAGTGAAGGGAGCTTAAAGTGAAGGAAGGGCAGCTTGCAATCATAGAATCTTAGAACTAGAAGGGACCACAAGAATCATCCAGTCCAACACAAGAAATATACAGCTAAAAAAACCTGAAAAATGCCCTTCTAGCTGTTCATTAAAGACCTCGAAAGAAGTAAAGCCCACCACACCCTGAGGCAATCTATTTTACTGTCCAATTGCTCTTACAACAACAACAACAACAATCTTTCTAAGGTTTAGGTGGAACCTCTTTGCTTGTATTTTGAATCCATTGGTTCATGTTCTTGGAACTCTGTTAAGAATCAATAAAGATGGAATAACATAAGTCTCAGTAGACTTGTTAGCACCAGCTGTAAGTAGAATGTTTCTGGTAATATTACTAACAGAAGAACTTAATAAATAAAAGAATAAAAGAACGTAAGAGATTATCACATTGGCCATTTTCTCCCCATGCTGGCATGGGTTGAGATGGTGTAAAAACAGATGTTATTGCACAGCTTTGTGCCCAGATTTGTGCATCCCTTACCCAATCGGGACTTCTCCCATACTGAGTTGAAAGTTATTCTTATCCGTTCATTGCTCAGTATGGGAGAAGTCCCGATCAGGTACTGGATGCCTCAGATTTGGGCACGAAGCTGTGCAATAACATCCGTTTTTGCATGGACTCAGCCTGTGCCCAGATTGACAAAAAAAGCAGTGTGATTTAAGTTACTGTGCCATGCTGAGATTTAAGTCCACACTGTTTCTTGGCCATTAAAGTTGAGAGGATAATGAATTTTTCTAAATCAGGCCAGTGAAACTCATGGCTAAATGTGGATTTGTTTTAAAATGGTTCTCTCACATTCAGACCTAGCACATACTGTACTCTGTGTTGTGACACATTTTGCAGAATGACATAAAAAGGCAGACAGCCAAATTTGATTACAACAGTCTGCAAACTTCATATAGATACAACCATTCAGCTACAGGAAAATAAGAAACAGTGAAAACAATAGGCTTTAAGTAGGCTGCAAAATTATAGCACTTTGATACCATTTAAATGTGGCTTTATCCTATGGAATCCTGGTATTTGCAGTTTGGTTTGGAGCTTTCTTCTGTACTCCAGCACATCATTTTCTGGGGACTGGTTGATATCATGCCCCCCCCCCCCGACACACACTACCATAACACTGTGAAGATATTGATGGCATCTGATTTTGGATTCTTAAGTAGGTTCAAGACAGGTTAACATTTGGATAGGAATCTGCCCATTTGGAGT